CAGATGCCCCCAAAGCCTCTTACTCATTACCAATAAGTACCCAGTTCCACCCTGCCACACCTTGACATTTCATTTAGCTGATACCTTTATCCAAAGCAGCTTACAATGAGTGCAATCAACTCTGAAGATAGAAACAAAAAACAGCAATAATCGTGAAAGTATACATTAGCTTGTGTAGCTGTGTAGTCTTTCTGCAGTCCTGATATTAACGGGGAGTTCGTTCGACCATTTTGATCAAGTACAGCAAATAGAGTGCTTTTATGAAAGAGTAGCAAGCGGATTGGCTGATGCAGAGTCGTGTCAATTGTCCCCCAATCAAGGGTCAATGCATGGTCCCATTTTTATTTGCCAAATCTATAATTTGTCTTGTCATAACCTTTCAGACATTACTTCCTCTCAGTATAATTGTTGGGCTTCCAACAAGTTGCCTGTCCATTGCCGTTTGATTGAAAGTCTTCAATTGAACCTGCTCTGTATTATTGTACAAGAACCATGGCAATTACATTACATTGCATTTAGCTGACGCTTTTATCCAAAGCGACTTACAATAAGTACATTCGACCAGGAAGACACAACCTTGAAGAAAACAGAATCATATAAGTACATCAGGTTTCATAGAGCCAAACATTTCAAGTGCTACTCAACTGGCTTTAGATAAGCCAGTCCTTTGTTAGTATATAAGTGCTTTGTTAATAAATCTATCGCTCGAAGTGGAGTCGAAAGAGATGAGTTTTCAGTTTGCGCCGGAAGATGTGCAAGCTATCTGCCGTCCTGATGTCAATGGGGAGCTCATTCCACCATCTTGGAGCCAGGATAGCAAACCCACGTGTTTTCGCCGATGGGAACTTGGGTCCCCTTCGCAGCGAGGGCGCAGCGAGTCGTTTGACTGATGCAGAGCGTAGTGCACGTGCTGGGGTGTACGGTTTAACCATGTCCTGGATGTACGAAGGGCCAGATCCATTCACAGCATGGTAAGCAAGTACCAGTGTCTTGAAGTGGATTCTAGCAGTTACCGGAAGCCAGTGAAGGGAGCGGAGGAGCGGAGTGGTGTGGGCAATGAGTATATATGTTTTGAATGGGGATTGTTAAGCATATGCTTTAACACCCATCATTGAAGCTGCAAAGGAGACGGGCTGAAATATGGTTTAATACTTGATTCTTTCAAAACAAGTTGTGTTCATTATGTAAAATGCCTGTGAGGCAAGAAGCATATGCAATGAATATAATCGAACTGGAAAGGACACAAGCATCTTGGAGAAGGAAGATGCGGCATGAAAGAAACCCTCAAACAGATGTTTTTTTCAGGGTCAAACAACAACAAGACTGCGGCTGACACAAGCCCAGGGCTAGTACCATTCAAGGATGTATTTATGCCCTAACTGCATTTCTCCAGTAGCAGTGAACATATGATCTTCCTATTCATCTTCAAAAGACTTCAGATGACTGTGGCCTAAATAGTGCTTCTGTGCCAGTGGGTGCAAAAATGCTGTGCTCCACAGTTTCTGCCCTGGATAGATGCTACATGTGCAAACCCTCCAAAAGAGACCAAGCACAGAAAATAATGGTGTTCATCTCACTGCTGTTAAGACTGATAATGTGGTGGGATGATTTAGGATGCATTGTTCCCGGATCAGATTCATCTCCTCCCAGAAGCTCGCCAACATCTTTGGCTAAGCCTAAGGAGCTGCTGTTGGAAAGGAGTCAAAGCTGCAGAGAAAAACTCCGTCACCCACTATTCTCAATTCATCAAATGGGACCATGAGTGTGCAAGCGACTGAGCCAGAGAAAACATTTTCAAACCTCATCGGAGGCCAATACTTTTGCTAATCTGAAATACCTTTAAGCATGAAGATGTATTCAAAAACTAAGTTTGATTTCAGCTCTTCAAGGCAAACCGACACTTCAAGCCATTTAAATTATGGAACAACTTGCAAAAAAGAAACAAGGAAAAGACAAAACATTACATCTAGATTGTATTTCAGGCTTCTGAGGCCGGGCTGATTCAGCAGATCCCCTTGAAATATTGTAATGCTTTTTTTATGTAGGATTTTTAAATTCTGTTAGATTCTCGGGATTCATTGAGGAGAGCTGTTCAATATGTTATGTCAAAGACTTTGCCGCTATCCCCCCATCTTTTTTTCCTACAAACCAGGCCAGATACTTTGAGCTGTAAATCTTCATTTTGTTGAAGTGCCAGAATGCACACTTCAATCCCAACATGTCTTCAGACCTCTCTTGTAATGGTGGCAACCTACTGGGCAGGGGAGACATTTCGAGATGTTGGAGCTCTATTCGGGGAGAACACAGGTTTCATGGCAAATGTGTAACTTTTTAAAGAGTCCTCTCCTGCTGATGTTCAGGTGTATATCAGTATGTAGTGTCTCTACTTTAAAGAGTCCTCTCCTGCTGATGTTCGGGTGTATATCAGTATGTAGTGTCTCTACTTTAAAGAGTCCGCTCCTGCTGATGTTCAGGTGTATATCAGTATGTAGTGTCTCTACTTTAAAGAGTCCTCTCCTGCTGATGTTCGGGTGTATATCAGTATGTAGTGTCTCTACTTTAAAGAGTCCTCTCCTGTTGATGTTCAGGTGTATATCAGTATGTAGTGTCTCTACTGTAAAGAGTCCTCTCCTGCTGATGTTCAGGTGTATATCTGTATGTAGTGTCTCTACTTTAAAGAGTCCTCTCCTGCTGATGTTCAGGTGTATATCTGTATGTAGTGTCTCTACTTTAAAGAGTCCTCTCCTTCTGATGTTCAGGTGTATATCAGTATGTAGTGTCTCTACTTTAAAGAGTCCTCTCCTGCTGATGTTCAGGTGTATATCAGGATGTAGTGTCTCTACTTTAAAGAGTCCTCTCCTGCTGATGTTCAGGTGTATATCAGTATGTAGTGTCTCTACTTTAAAGAGTCTTCTCCTGCTGATGTTCAGGTGTATATCAGTATGTGGTGTCTCTACTTTAAAGAGTCCTCTCCTGCTGATGTTCAGGTGTATATCAGTATGTAGTGTCTCTACTTTAAAGAGTCCTCTCCTGCTGATGTTCAGGTGTATATCAGTATGTAGTGTATCTACTTTAAAGAGTCCTCTCCTGCTGATGTTCAGGTGTATATCAGTATGTAGTGTCTCTACTTTAAAGAGTCCTCTCCTGCTGATGTTCAGGTGTATATCAGTATGTAGTGTCTCTACTTTAAAGAGTCCTCTCCTGCTGATGTTCAGGTGTATATCAGTATGTAGTGTCTCTACTTTAAAGAGTCCTCTCCTGCTGATGTTCAGGTGTATATCAGTATGTAGTGCCTCTACTTTAAAGAGTCCTCTCCTGCTGATGTTCAGGTGTATATCAGTATGTAGTGTCTCTACTTTAAAGAGTCCTCTCCTGCTGATGTTCAGGTGTATATCAGTATGTAGTGTCTCTACTTTAAAGAGTCCTCTCCTGCTGATGTTCAGGTGTATATCAGTATGTAGTGCCTCTACTTTAAAGAGTCCTCTCCTGCTGATGTTCAGGTGTATATCAGTATGTAGTGTCTCTACTGGGACATGTCTCCATGCTTTATTGTTCCAAAAATGTTCTCATACTGCCTGTGCTGCAGCACCTCTTTTCACCCTCTGTCTGAAACCAGAGCCCAGTCTGCTCTGATTGATTTAGTACGACACGTTATGCTTTCGTCAGCCAGAACACTGCATCTCATTGTACAGAAAACATGCTTGTGTAAGTTAAAATGTAGCATACATAAAGTAAAGCCTGTATATTTCTCCCTCTGAGGCCCTGAGGGCAAAGCACAGAAACTAGTTTAAGATTGTCATACTTCTTAGCCTGAAGCTGAAATCAATTTAAGTCTGGAGCAGCTTCCCAATATAACAGTCCAGATAAGTCATCCCCTAACAAGGAGACTGACATACTTCCTGTGCATGAAATGCCTTCTGATTAAATTGCCCATTTGGCAGAATCCCAAGCGTCAAATCCTTGGTCGTCCCTTGATGGTGATCTGCTCCTCCAGAGCCACATTGTGTGTCCTCACAGGAGGAGAGGACAGAGACTGCTGCCGTGCACTTCAGCTCTGCAGCCTCTCTGAAATGCTGATATCACACTGCAGGTGAGATGATAATGAAATAACAGGGGAGAGTTTTGGGGCTGATCAGAGTCACCGTGAAGCATCTTGATTTAAAATAGCCTCACACTGTCCCAAAGGGGAAATCAGGCTGCAGCGATCTGATAATCCTGCTGTTAAAGCACAGTCTGCATGCCGTGGCGCTTTTTCAGGTTTATGGAACAAACTATCCAGAGGATTACTGTTCACAAGGAAAGTGCAACTCAACCAAAACACAACAACAAAAAGGCGGATTTACGCAAACAACGAAGAATCTAGGCTGAATGGTAATGGCATTTTTTCTAGGTTTCTAAGGAAAGCTTGAAGAGATCTAATCAAAACAAAGGGAATACTTATGATAGATCACCATCCGAGCAGTGTTAGGGGCATTTTATCATTTGGTTTCATTTGGTTTGAAAAATGACAACACTATAAAGTCCCCAGAGGGAGACACAACAAAAAAACTGCCAACATTTGCTTCAGATATCTCTTTTTACACATTAATAACTGAAGTTGTTTTTTTAAATGTTGTGTTTTCTAGTTCCACATCAAATCAGATTGGAGTGAACCTATAGCAAAAATAATTAAGTCTTGAGCTAGATCCCTCTGGGATTATAGTAACCCTAACATTGCGTAAATACGACCACAGAGTGAACTGGCACACTTTAAGCAGCACCAATAGGAACATTCAAGGATTAGTTCAGTGATGCATAATAATACATGAGGATCAATGCATGCCCTAAAGTCAGCGGTGAGTCGTTATTACCACAGAAACCATGATTGCTATAAAGAATGATTGGGTGAGAAATTAGAGTCAAAGTGTGGATGTTTTCAGGTCCGACAACAAGTCAAACTGATCAAACCTGAACATTAGTTTGAGTTTTGTTTGTGTCGAAATGTTTGTATATGTACTCACCAGCTGAAGCTTTCACAGCAGAAAACATCGCAGCAGAGCTTCCACCTCTTTACTGCTCATCGTCCGTCGCCAATAGAAAAACGTGTTCATTTCTGTCCAGGACACTTCCTCCTCTTCCTCCTCTTCTCCCTCTGCCTACATCCAACCAGACTTTTACAACATCTGTCGCATCACAGTCGCGCGCTTCACTCCGTCCTCCCACTGACGCGCTCCTCGGGGAGTTGTTTAGATAATTACGCTACTAAAATAATTCAGGTCGACTGTGTCTCTGGTTGTGTGTGATGATGATGATGATGATGATAATGAGGAGGAGGAGGAGTTGCTGGTGTGCTGATGCTTTCTGCGCATCTCCATCCCTCCGCTCAGCTGGAGCAACAATCCCAAAGACTCCCGGCTGGATCCGCGCCATGTAACGTCCCGTAATGCCTCAAATCCCCGGGGGTTGGGGAGTGTAACGAATAGTGGGTCTACTACAGTTTTCACAAACATGAATCAGTGGGCAGAACTCTATTTTTAGATATAAATAGCGAACGAATCCCATCATCCTGTTCGTTTTTACCAACACATTTCCACTACTTTTAGAAGTGCAGAGCATTTACGTGTTTTGCCTAATAAGAGGCTGAATTAATAAGTAAGATTGATTAAAGTGTAATGTATGAACACTGACGAAAAAACATGCCGCTCATATTTTTCGTAGTTACTGTAGTTACGCAGTTTGCAGGATTTCTTTATATTGATTGAAAAACACTGTTTTTACTCGCTTTTTCCCTTCTTTACACTTTAAGGAGATCCAATAAACAGGTTAGTTTAGTGATGCATAATAATACATGAGGATCAATGCATGCCATGAAGTCAGCAGTGAGTCGTTATTACCACAGAATACATGATTGCTATACAGAATTATTCATGTACCATGAGAGTCAAAGTGTGGATGTTTTCAAGTCCAACATCTATAAAACTCACTTTTTCACTAGAAGCATGTGCATTACATTGATAAACGATTGGTTAATGTATTTAATGCATAATTACATTCAGTCAACCAGCTGACAAAATGTGCAGCAGTTTGCAAAAACATTTTTAAATGTGATGTTCTTGTAATCTACCATTTAAAAAAAAAAAAGAGATCTCTGACAACTTCTGTCAAAATGTCATTGAGTCCAATATACTATGGTTCTTTCTCATTTTCCAATGGCAACAGGTTAACATCACATATCACACCCTTATCCTTAAGTCGTACACGAGAGCACTCTGAAAACACCTGAATAACTAAATAACGCAATGTTATGGTAAAGTGTAAATGACATACACAATAGTTTGATGTTTGGACATCCCTTTAGCTCCTCATAATTTGAGTGAGGAGCTAAAGGGATGTCCAAACATCAAACTATTCAAAAAGAGGTATACAGACACAATTCTCACAAGGTACAGGGAGGACACTGCTAAACCATAACTGTTTATATTCCTGTTTTGTGTTCTATTTATGAATTTGTGTTTGTATGAATTTGTGTATGTATATGTGTGTATATATAAATATAAATATAAATATATAGAGACCATTCTCCTAACTTGCCTGTATATATTACTGTATATGAATGATTATATAAATTAGTCAAGGTTAAAGTATACATTGATATTGTATGTTAACATATATTAAGATGTAAAAAATTTTTTTTTAAATTAAAAAAAGGGAGAAGGGGTCGGATTAAATAAGTGTGAACTTCTTCTGACCCCTTTTCGGACGTGTACTTAGCTAAAGCTTTGTTGTTTATTGTTATCAGACAATACTACAGATTATTCAATTATTAATGAAATATTTCGTTTTGTTATTGCATTCATTTGTATAGTACTGTAGGGGATCACATCTTCAAATACACACAGACTGCAAACATTCAAAATAAAATGTCTATGGGTCTATGAATCTCTGAACATTTTAGAAATAATTCAGTGTGTACACTTAAAACACACAATTAAGAATGACTGTGTTTATATTTGATACTTACAGTAAGAGTATTTAATGTCATTACATGTTTCCTCCATTCAGCAATAGTTAAAAGCACAACTCTCAATTAGGCTAGTGGACAATTCTTTGTTTTTTCCACGTTCCTTGCATACTCACATTATTACTCAGTTCACACAATCGTTCAAATGATGCTTGCATTGAACCATCATATTTTTAGCATTTGTTGCCATTTCCCCAGGTGTAAGCCATGAATCTGCTGTGCAACATGTTACAATGACCAATAATGATGGTCAAAGCTATGAAAATAGGACTTCAGTTGTGATTAACATGTTTTTGTGAAAGAAGGTCATTAAGCCAAGAGTGCATTGCTACAGAAAAGTGCTTCACCGTGGGCCTCAAAGCAATGGCAGAAGCACAAAACAGCAGCTTTTTGTCAACAAAGTTACTCTTACGCTCGGCCCATAGGGGCGCTAGGGGCGCCGCCCCACCTCTTCCAACATACAAAAAAATAATAATTTAAAAACATATATATTTAAAAAAAATATATATTTTATATTTTTATTTTTAATGAACAAGGTAAATATCATACAATTGGTATCAGTACAATGTATAATATACAATACAATCTCGTTTAAAATTGTGTTACGATGTCTAAAGTTACTGATAAGTCACATGTTTCCTTGTGACTTATCGTCACAGCGCGTCTTGTTTGAATGATGCGAGTAAACACAGCTGGCAGCCGCGGTGAAACTCGAGCGACTAGAGCGATGCGATAGGAGCGAATATTCGCATCGCGTCCGGTCTGAACGCAGCATTAAAGCGGGCTCCACGCTGCACTGGAAACGCGCCATTACATCACCAGAAGTCCTAATTTAAGGGGTCATTTCTCCCCAAAAACATTTTTTTACTCACTATATCAACAGCCCCACCAAAAATATGTTCCACCAGCCGCCATTGCCCAGGGTGCTGGAGACGTGCACATAATAATAATGATATGGGGTGGCAAAATCCCCAGGCTGTGAGCTCTGAGGGGATTTGTGATTTTTTGTTATCCGCCACACTGAGTGAGTGCTGGCATGTTTCCAGGACAGTACATTACTACCACAGCTTGGAGGGGCAGAGAGGCAGATATGTGCAGTTAAGCCAAATCTCTGGATTGAACAACAGCTGGGAACAATATAGATGAGTAGGATACAACTCTGGAGTAGAGGTGCGGACTACCCCCTTCCTTGGCAAGAAACACTAACACACTTATGTTAATGAAGCCTCCAAAGTAAGTAAATATATTAAAAGTTGTTTTTTAAACCTCAGTGCCCTTGGTGACAATCCAGTGAGCGAGCCGTGTACAGCTGCTGTTAGGGAAAATAATATTGCTCCGAACAAAATGACTCTTTCTCATCAGCGTCTAGTTTAGCTTCCACCCGGTGGACTGACCTTTTCTCCCCCAGACAAACAACACAGACACTTTTAACTGCTGGCTGGGAACTCACCTGTTTTACATGGACCTCACGTTGCACATAAACAAACTCACACACACATTCATATTGTACTTGTGAGGACTGTGTGGTGTTGTCAGACAAAGCCTAACATGAAAGTATGGTTTTTCTGAATGGCCAAAGGAAATCAGAGAGACTGAATAGAAACCAAAAGCTGTACAAATTGTGGATTTCTATTTTTTATGTATGATTAGCAGTATTTTTTTTGTGACTCTTGTAGCAAAATACCAAATCATTTAACCCAGGGGTGTCCACACTTTTTTCACCGAGGGTCACATACAGAAACATATACGAAGGGCTGGGCCGCTCACTAGAGGTATATTACCTCATAAGTTCAGTTATAAGTTTGAAAATCAATCCAATGTAGGTCAATTATTCTTGGGCCTTTTAACACATGAATAGTGTGTAATATAGTTGTACATATATATTTAAGAAGTATGACATGCACAAGTTTCATTTGTGGGCCATATTTCATTATGCTTTATAGGGACGTTTCAAAATGGGCGCATTTGGCCCCCGGGCCGTAGTTTGGACACCCCTGATTTAACCAATCAGAGTAGACTTGGCTCTGGTTTCAGACAGAGGGTGAAAAGAGGTGCTGCAGCACAGGCAGTATGAGAAAAATAAAGAGCTTTTTGAACATTAAAGCCTGGAGACATGTCCCAGTAGACACACTAATAAATACTGATAGGAACCTACACATGAGAAGAATAAGGACCCCTTTAAATGAATGAGGAATTTTTTCAAACTAGTCGCTACAGTATATTTGTCCAAGTGGAAATCTGTTTTTTATAACATTAAAATACCCCATGTAGAATAAAGATCTATCCGTACATTGTGTCTTCAAACATCGCTGCTCGGGTGGGTTTCTGTCACAGCTGCGTTGGTTTTCAACATACCCACCAAATGGGAGCAAACACACCTCAAAGGCTGAAGAGAAACTATTCAAGCATTCAACTGTTGCAAACGGATGCAGAGGCACTTTCACAGTGAATGCATCTCAGCCCTGAAATGCAAAGTCACCCATCCAAAGAGACCTTCCCTCTGGATTTAAGCGTGTGCCTGTCAGGCAGGAACAGACGAGTTCACCTTAAGGAAGGCAAACATAGAGGGAAAGTGAGGGCAGCATCTAAAACCAAGACTGCCTGTGAAGAAAGACAGCTTTAAAGGTCCCCTGTTATACTGTTTTCCATCAATATATCACAGGTCTCAGATATATCCAGAGCCTGTCTCTGATTGGCTGAAACACCAAACAGATCACTGCAGCATTACCCATAATCCCCTCTGTTTCAGCCCTGTTTCCAAAGTGCTGATTCTCTGTCTGTTACTTTAGATGAAAATAAGGAGCCCCTCCCCACGCCCCTCTGAGAGACATTTGGTTACAAAGAACTCAATGGTGCTCTAGGAGGAGATTCAGGTGATAAGGGGGGGGGGGGGGGTTACCTTGGTTGCTGATTGGCTAATGGTTACACAAGACAACACATCGTTATGACATCATAAAGTGGTCAAAATCTGATCAGCTCATTTTCAGACAGGTTTTTATAGAAATGGATCAAAAAGAGAGAGAATCTTTGTTCCTGAAACTTTCAGAATCTCTTTCCACAGAGGGGACACATGTTGATGTAGAAGAGACATGAAGAAGAGGGGACACATGTTGATGTAGAAGAGACATGAAGAAGAGGGGACACATGTTGATGTAGAAGAGACATGAAGAAGAGGGGACACATGTTGATGTAGAAGAGACATGAAGAAGAGGGGACACATGTTGATGTAGAAGAGACATGAAGAAGAGGGGACACATGT